AAATTTCTGATGATAGTCTACAGAGAATATTTTTGAGTCTTCAATGACATACATTTGTGGTTCAATTTTATTAGATTTGTTTGGCATATAAATTAGTCCTTGTTTTACATAAGGGATCTTTCCCTAGAGCTTAATTTGCTGTATAAAAATCTCTGCTTCTGATAAATGTTTAAAATTTCCAGGCCTGGAGAAAAATGTTTCAGGTTTGTTCAAAAGCACAAGGCTGTAACTACTCAAAATTAGAAATGGATATATATTATTAAATAAAATTATTTTTAAATACATTTAAATTTTCTGCATATGAGAACTCTTAAACTTTAGAATTTCCATGAAAAAAGTTCCTTGGTGTTTTCTGAGAGACAGCTGGTGATAAATGAGAGTAATTCATTCTAATATAAAACATTTTAAGCATGAAAAATTTGAGACTAAAGATGTAAAATATTCTTCTCTATCTTTGTCTCTGTCTCCATCTCCCTGTCCTCTTCATATGTGTGTGTGTTAATCTTGTTCTATTTCTCGTCTTTTACCAACTTACTTAATGAAATATATAACTTATGACAGAGTATGAGCTTCCTTTTGCCATAGCTTGTAAATAGAGATAAGCATTTTATATTCAATTTGCTATGCATTTATTATAAAGTAGCTTGTCTGTTATTAGCATAAAACATTGCAAACCTGACTTCCAAGTTTTGCCTATGTTACCAACAAAATCTTGTTAACATTTCTTTTTCATTTTCCTTTTCTTCCCTGATTTTTTTTCTTTTTGCATGAAGAAAAATGAATGTTTAATGAAGAAGAACGTTTAAGTTTCTTTCTTTTTTTTTTTTTTTTTTGGCTTTTGTTAGGGAAAATTATGATTTAATTACAACATTTCTCCCTTTCCCCTTCTTCCTTTGAATCCACTCATACACCTCTGCCAGCTGTCCTTCCTTGGCCTCATTCACTAACTGTCCTATTCAGGCCACATAGTGCTGTATATGGACTCTTTAGGCTGACCATTCACTATCATGTAACCAGATGTTGAACTCTTTCTTCCCGTGGGGAAGGGAACCTCTTACGCTTTTAGTTTTACTCGGTTGCTTATTTTTCATTGTGTAGGGTTGGGGCCTCATGAGGTTTTTTCCTGTTCACTTCAGTATGTTGGTTGGTCTCCTTCCTTCCTCCCTCCCTCCCTCCCTCCCTCCCTCCCTTCCTTCTTTCCTCCCTTCCTCCCTCCCTTCTTTCCTTCCTTCTTTTTTTCTTCTTTCATTCTTTCCTCCCTTTTTCTTTCCTGTCTCTGTCTCTCTCTCTCTTTCTCTGACTTTATCTTTTTTCTTTGTCAATTGCACAAATTAGAACTACATAACTTAAGTTGGTTCCTTTTTCTTTAAAGTTAATTCAAAATAGGGAAAAATGCTACTCTCTTTTTTTGTTTTTGTTCCAGTTTTTCTCGGTTTTCATTGCACTAATGAAAAATAGTCTCCATTCATTTTATTTCAGAAAGTCAGAGAATAGAATAACTTCCTTATGAGATTGTGTTTTCACTATCATAATGTTTTAAGTTAGCCATTTTGTTCAACAAATTAAGAAATCTGAGGTTTTTATTTCTTTGTTCTTAATTTGAGTAATTGTAATTTAGGACCTATAGATATATAGATATATATATTATAGACAACATATTTTTATAGTGTTATTATGTAAAACTACATCTATGTTCTTATGTGCTCTCACTTTTTTAGAATAGATCATGTTTAACATGTAATTTAAGAAGGCATGCTAATATTACAATTTACAAGAAGCATAATTTAATGATTCTTTCTTTTGACAGCTTTTGTCTAAAAATACTCTAATATATTTTTATAAATGGTTTTCCATAATTATAATATGATTAGATTTTCTGAAACACTGAACTTGCAATATGTAATTTAAAATAATTTAGTATTTTGTTGTTATGTATTGTCATAATAAGATTGTTTTTACATGACATCTTGTTTTAATTCCTTTTCTTTTTGAAAAAAAATATCATATTCTTTCTCCTTCCACATCTCTCTACCTATCCAGATTCATAACATTTCTCTCTCAAAAATATACATACAAACAAACAGAAAACAAAACAACAACAAAATAATTTAAGCCAGGCACGGTAGAGCACACCTGTAACCCAGCTCTCAGGGAGGCAGAGGCACGCATATCTCTGTGAATTTGAGGCTAGCCTGGTCTGCAAAGCAAGCCAAGGACAGCCAAGGCTACACAGAAAAACCCTGTGTCAAATATATATATATATATGATCTTATATATTCATATATATATATATATATATATATATGAAGATCAGGTAGTTTGTTGTTTGTTGTGAGATTGTGTCTCCTAGTAATGTCAGAAGCTACATCCATGAAATTTTATCATCACAACTTCCTAATCATAAGCAAACAAGGACAAGAACAATACATATGTCAAAGTAACAGGGAAAAGATCATGAGGTTTTTTTTGGGGGGGGGGGAATTATTTTCTTTTTAAGATTTTTTTTTCTTATCAGTTATATTTTATTAACTCTGTATCCCAGCCGTGTCCCGCTCCCTCATTCCCTCCCAATCCCACCCTCTCTCCTTCATCTCCACCTTGCCCCTTTCCAAGTCTACTGATGGGGGGGAACTCCTCCCCATTCATCGGATCCTGTTTTATCAGGTATCTTCAGGACTGGCTGTGAAGCCCTCCTCTGTGGCCTAACAGGACTGTTCCTCCCTTGGAAGGTGGGGAGGTCAAAGAGCCAGCCATTGAGTTCCTGTTAGAAATAGTCCTTGTTCCCCTCACTATGGGAAACCAATTGGTTACTGAGCTACCACAGGCTACATCTGAGCAGAGGTTCTAGGTTATATCCATACATGGTCCTTGGTTAAATGTCAGTCAGAAAATTCCCCTGTGCCCAGATATATTTGGTCCTTGTGGAGCTCCTATCCTTTCCCAATCATACTAACTCCCCTTCTTTCATATGATTCCCTGTACTCTGCCGAAGGTTTGGTCATGAGTCTTTGTATCTGCTTTGAAAACACTGCTAGTTAGAGTCTTTCAGATGCTCTCAGTAGACTCCTGTCATACGTTCACTGTACATCCCATCTGTCTTTCTAAACGAGGATTGATTATCTTACCCCATGTCCGCTCTCTTGATTATCTTTTTTAGGTGTATAGATTTCATTATGTTTGTCATATCTTATAGGTCTATATAAGTGAGTATATACCGTGTTTGTCTTTCTCCTTCTGGGATATTTCACTCAGAATGATCTTTTCTAGATCCCACCATTTGCCAGCAAATTTCATGATTTCCTCCTTTTTGATTGCTGAGTAGTATTCCATTGTGTAAAAATACCACAATTTCTGTACCTATTCCTACGTTGATGGACATCTGAGTTGTTTCCAGGTTCTGGCTATTACAAATAAAGCTGTTATAAACATGGTTGAGCAAGTATCCCTTTTGTGTACTTGAGCAAAGTTAGGGTATATACCTAGCAGTGGTATAGCTGGGTCTTGAGGAAGCACTATTCCTAATTGTCTGAGAAAGCGCCAGATAGATTTCCAGAGTGGTTGTACCAGTTTACATTCCCACCAGCAGTGAAGGAGAGTTCCCTTTTCTCCACAACCTCTCCAGCATGTGTTGTCACTTGAGTTTTTCATCTTGTCCATTCTTATGGGTGTATGGTGAAATCTCAGTGTCGTTTTGATTTGCACATAATAAGATTTTTTAATACATTTTCCCCATTTACTTTCTCAAAAAATTGACTCATATATCTGACTCATTTTAGAGCTTGAGTGTAGTGAATCAGTAGTTTTAATGTGACGGACATCGGAAGCTGGAGAAGACAGAATAGGACAGGAGCCTACCACAGATGGCCTCTGAAGACTCTACTGATCGAGATATCAAAGCAGAGGTATTGAAGCAGAGGCTGAGACTCATAGCCAATCTTTCAGCAGAGTGTAAGTAATCTTATGAAAGAAAGGGGATATAGAAAGACTTGGAGGGGACAGGAGCTCCAAAAGGAGACCAACAAAGCCATAAAAACTGAGTCCTTGGGGACACTGAAGAGAATGATACCTCATCCATAAACAAGCCATGCAGAGGACCTGAAATCTGAAACCTAGGCTCAGATGGCAGCTCAGTCCCAAAGTTGGGTCTCTAGAAAGGGAATCAGGGATTTTCTCTAGCATGAACTCAGTGGCAGGCTCTCTGATCACCCCCTCCTAGGGAATGCAGCCTTGTCAGGCCACAGAGGAAGACAATGATAATACTCAGAGGCTAGGGTCAAATAGAAGGGGAGGAGGATCTCACTTATCAGTGGACCAAGGGAGGGCATGGGGGAAAGAGAGGGAAAGGTGGGATTGGGAGAAGACAAGGGATGGGGCCACAGCCTGGATACAAATTGGATAACCTAATAAATGATAATAAAAAAAGAAAAAAGAATGAAGGCATGGATTTATCATTTAGCACTCTGAATTTTACTTTTAAGTTTTAATATTATTAAAATTTCTGGATGTTTCCATGTCATAAACTTCAGATGAAATTTTTGTAGTGCCGCAAAAGGTGATTGTAGGAAATTTGCTCCTAGTTTCGTATAAGTAGTTTGAGTGGAAGTAGCAGTAGTAGAACTGTGTACAGGACATAGCCAACATAGACCACAAATTCCCAGGTCACATCTTTAATAAGGTGATTCGATTAAATCCCGTGATATATCAAATTACAACAGTGAGTGTATTTTAGACAAAGTCATAATCACCTCAGAGGTTTGCTTAACTGTACTTAGATGTCCATGGCTTATATTAACATGCAGGAGAGGGGTTAATGGAGATGTATTTTTGTATGAACCTGAACTATCTGATATTTTGAAATTTTCATAATTCTGTTTTACCTGTTCTCCAAACATATGTTATTGACATGAATCCTATATTGTTCTGCAGTTAACATATATATCTTCTTGTCTCCTTTTCTTTTTTCTTCCAAGTTCTGTCTCTTAAAATGCTGGGTAGCAGTCATGGGTGAGAAAAACTGCACCTCTGTGGCAGAGTTCATTCTTCTTGGCTTTTCTGATGTCCCTGACCTGGCATTCTTTCTCTTCCCAGTATTTTTTCTTATTTATGGAGCGACTGTCATAGCAAACCTGGGCATGACTGTGTTGATTCAGATTAGCTCTCAACTTGACACTCCTATGTACTTTTTCCTCAGCCACCTGGCCTTTGTGGATTTCTGCTACTCCTCCATCATTGTGCCCAAGGTGTTCACTGATATCATGAAGAAGGAAAACATTATTTCTTACCTGGGATGCATGGTACAATTTTATTTATCTTGTGCTTTTGCTATCACCGAGGTCTTCCTATTGGCTGTGATGGCCTATGACCACTTTGTGGCCATTTGTAACCCACTACTGTACATGACCATCATGTCTCCAAAGCTCCGTAGAGCACTGGTGTCTTGTTGCTACCTCTACGCATCAGTGTGTTCTCTGACTCACCTGTGCTTAGCCCTGGAGATGCCATCATTTGAGTCAAAAGTGATTAACCACTTCTTTTGTGACCTGCCTCCTCTCTTAAGTCTTGCTTGCTCTGAAGAGGAATGAGTTATTCTTCTTCATTGTTGTCAATTTCAATGAAATTCTCACTATTGTAATCATCTTCACATCCTATTTGTTTATCCTCATCACCATCTTGAAGATACATTCTGCAGAGGGGAGATGCAAAGCCTTTTCCACCTGTGCCTCTCATCTTACAGTCATCATTGTCTTCCATGGAACAATCCTTTTTATTTATTGTCAGCCCAACTCTGGCGATAGTGTGGATGTTGATAAAGTGACTACAGTTTTCTACACTGTGTTCATTCCCATGCTGAATCCCCTGATCTACAGTCTGAGGAATAAGGATGTGAAAGAGGCTCTCAGAAAAGTGTTAGGCTCTCAAAATATTCTTTACTAAATTTTTTTAAAGCAAAACTTAGGGATTCATAGTTAATCCCATTAGTAGTAAACAGATGAGCTGAATATGGAGCATAGAAAATAAGAACTATTACACGAGGACATTTATTAATGAGTCTAAGTAATCATAGATCTCTGTTCTCTATTTAGAAAAGTAGGATTGATGGTTGTCAAAGATTGTATTTATGTGTTGTTCTTCATTTTGTAGTATTTCAGCTGATATGAGTTATAATGTGGAACAAGAACCCTTTTCATTATAGCATAATTTATGGAATATATGATCCATTTAAAAATTGACTTCCTGACATTTTACAAAGCATAACAACATTTTGTCACTCAGTTTATAGACAATTATCTGTAATATATATATATATATATATTACACAATACACATTAGGCTTTTTGGTGTTTCCTTTACTATTTGGACTTGAATCACTCTATTGTTTTTGGAACTTTATTTAGTATCCACTGTAAAAAATATCAATGCAAGAATAATAGTTATTCAAAAGAACCCAGGAAATATTAATTGTATGTCATATTCAAAGAGCTTTGAATCCATTTTTATTTATAATCTTTTGTATTATTTTGTCCTTGTGAGGTGTTTTGTGTAGGGATTTATTGTCAATGGCTTGTTTTGTTGGTGTCTGCACTTATGACTTATCACTGATTTCTTCATGCTATTTCTTCAACACAGTGAGAATGAAACACACACTTCAACTCTGAATGCATCTCTAGCCTCTGTTAGTTTATTTGCATATGCATTTGATCTTAATACAATATTCTTGTGTCACTCTTTGTAGCTATCTCCGTGTTTCTTCATTCAGTCTTGACTCATGATGCACTTCTACAATTAAAGATGATTTATGTCAATTTCCTCTTTATGTTTACTTATTCAAGCAAAACATTTATCCTGGTATCTTATGTTAGAAAAGCAATTGGATGCCAGAGCCAGCCAGCAGAGTCGAACAGTTCTTGAGTTGGGAGTGAGGATTAAAATTAATAATAATAAAAAAAAAACACACAGCACACAGGAGGCTTTTTAAGAAGGTCTGGACTCAACAGCCACAGCAGCAAGCCGCCTTAGCAGCAAAAACTAGCAGCAACTGCCAGCCAGTCTTTTTATTGTAGAGTTTTTTAGCCAGAGTAGAAACATCTCAGAACAATGGGTTAATTTCCACGAGGATCCTGAGGAACAGGTGTGATCTTCATAAACTATCCCACCTGCTGCCACAAACAAAAGGAGATGGACTTGCAAATTCTTCCCTGCCTTAGTGAAGGTTCAGTAAAAGCAGTCTCTCCGCTGAGATTTAAATATCAAAGCAGCTGTCAGAGGCACCACTCCCGACATGTCCCCCATTTTTATATTTTTTAAATTGGCCATAACTTAAGAGTTATGGAGCAGAAGATTGTGCCTGTCTTAGGTTGTTTCTCTCAAAAGATATATCTTTATTTGTATATGAATTTTATCATTCATGTCCCATTGTGGGAAGAATATACCCCAGAGAAAACTTACCCATCATTGACTACCAATCTCTGCTAGGGTAGACACTGTGGTTTGATCTTGTGCAGATCAGCTCAGCTTTGACATACTAAAAGGCCTTCAGGCATTTTTGTTGCCACCGATAGGAGCATCTCCTATCACAAGCCAAGTCCAAAATAACACTCCAAAAGTGACTAAGCAGGTGACTCCTTGTGTAAATTACCAAGTCTGAGAAACATTTACAGGAACCATAGTAAAAGGCTGTCGAGCAAACAGAACCATTTGAAAGCTTAACATCTCCAAACAACAGAACAAAAGGAGAATTTACATAGGCAGTTACAGGGCCTCCCAAGTGTTTTAGAAGCAAGTTTGTTTTGCTCTGCTGAAAAGCAGAGCCAGATCAAAGCTTTAGTTGGTCCTCTTTTTTATTCTCTCTGATTTTGTTGAGAATTGTCCTTATTAACAGAACAATCAAGTCCAGTCCATTGAATAAGAGGTTTTTCCTCATAATGTCTTCTCCCTGGACCAGACTGAAACAAAGGTGGGTCAGGAGCTAAGGTCTAATGCAGCTTTTTGGTCTTAGTCAGGGCAGAATTTACGATTGTCTGTAGTGGGAACATCCTCCTTCTGGGGGAACTACTCCTGCAAACCACACAGCCTCTCTGGGATCCACCTGGCTCCCTCTGCGTCCTGTGGAAAAACACAAACATGCCCTCTTCCCCATATTAATACAGGGTCAGGGCCCTGCCATATTCCAGTAATCGGATCTTTCCATTTTACTTGGGCATACTTTGGTATTAGGATGCCACAATCGATCAGCCACAGAATGGCCTTGTATATCCACATTTAAAAAATTTAAAATAAAGAGAGCATGATCAATATTTGGGGATATGACTCCCCCCTTTTTATTTTTTGTAATTGGTTTTTAAGAGATCCATGGGTTCGTTCCACAATACCTTGGCCCTGGGGATTATATGGAATGCCCGTTTTATGACTTATACTCATTTGTGCAAAAAAAAAAAAAAAAAAAACGCTGAAAAGCTAGACTCCTATATCCTGAGCCATTGTCAGGTTTTATAATGGAAGGAATAGCAATTGCAGCAAAACACTTTAAGCAATGACTTATAATCTGTTTGGTGGCTTCCCCTGTTAAGGGAGTTGCCATGATAAATCCTGAAAAAGTGTCAATTTTATATTTTAGTTTCCCAAATTCTGGGACATGAGTTACATCCATTTGCCACAAATGATTGGGAGTCAAACCACTAGGACACACCATAATGAGGTACATTAAAATGTTCAGGGCAAGAGGAACATGATCTTACAATTTGTCTAGCGGCTTCTCTGGTAATATTAAATTGTTTTCTTAAGCTCTTGCTATTTTGATGATGTAATGCATGATAATTTTGAGCCAATTCTTGTTGAGTTAATCCAACCAAACGTGTGGCTAGATCTGCTAAATCATTTCCTAAAGTTAAAGGTCCAGGAAGACCTGAATGAGCTCTAATATGCCCTATGTAACAAGGCTGCACAAGGCTCCAAATACTTTGTTGAATCTCTCTAAATAGATCTTGTATTTGTTTATTAGCTGTATTAACATATGTTACAGTCTCTAGGACTTGTAAAGCTTTAGCTATATAATGGCTATCAGTGTACAAGTTGAAAGAGGTAGAAGCCAAATTTTTAAAGACTGCAGCAACAGCTTGTAATTCTACAACTTGAGCTGAGGCTGGCAATGTACACAGCTTTTCCATTTGAAGATCCATCAGTGAATACTGTTGGAACTTGAGGTAATGGCTTTTGTTTAATTATTTTAGGAAATACAAAAGCATGCTCATTGGCAAATTGAAGTAATTTATCTTTTGGATAATAATTGTCAATACATCCTAAATAATGAGCAAAAGCTATGGCCCAACAATCTGAATTTTGAAATAACCAATCTACTTGCTGTTTGGTAAAAGAAACTGCAATTAAGGCGGGCTCTCTACCAAAAGACTTGTGAGATTCTGTGCGAGCCCTTTGAATTGAACTAGCTACCGCTTCATAATATGGTTTCAGAACTCGAACAGGAGACACAGGAAAGTGCAACCATAATAATGGTCCTTCTTGCCACAGTACAGCAGTTGGAGTATGAACAGTAGCCAAAATATATGCACCCATTCTTTTGAATAATCAATATATTGAACATGCTGCTTTTTAATAGCTAATTCTATCTTTTGCAAAGCATCACGAGCTTCTTTGGTAAGTTCCCTTTTTGACAAAGGATTAGCCTCTCCTTTTAAAATGTCAAAAAGTGGTTTTAGCTCTCCTGTTGTTAATTTTAAATGGGGTCATAGCCAATTAATATCACCTAACAACTTTTGAAAATCATTTAAAGATTTTAGGTTGTCTTTTCTTAATTGAATTTTTTGAGGCATAATGGTCTGAGGATATAATTTATGTCCCAAATACAAATAGAGTGGCTCTGTCTGCACCTTTTCTGGTGCAATTACTAAACCTAGATTCTTTAAGGCTTGTTGTAAGTGTGTAAAAGCATTTAATAAAATCCTTTCATTTTTATGAGCCAGTAAAATGTCATCCATTTAATGAATAATATACACAGATGAATATGCCTCTCTAGTTTTAAAAATAGCTTGCGCCACAAATTTTTGACATAAAGTTGGACTGTTTGCTATACCTTGAGGTAATACAAGCCAATGCTACCTCTTCATAGGTTCCTTAAAATTTACTGATAGCACGCTAAAAGCAAATCTTTTACAATCTTGAGGAGCAAGAGGAATAGTATCCAATTGCTGTGCTATTTTCCTGTAGATTCCTTCTCCAGCAAGCATGTCATAAGTTACAGGAATTCCCTGAGCTCAATTAAGTTCAGCTGTAGCTTGACAATGCTCTGCAAATTCTGACTTCCATAATAAATTATCTCCTCCTGATGAGCATGCTCTTGCTAACTGTTTCCATTCTCCTGGGCAGAGGGCTTCAGTGGGCATGGATTCCAGCAGAGCCAGGGTGAAAGGAGCTGTAGGACCGTGTTGGCAGCATGCAGATTTTATAGGAGCATGGACTCTCGCCATAACACCCATTCATCGGGTTGCTCCAGAACTGGGGACCATAAAACTCAGATACAACTTGTCCATTCTGCCTGGCTTCTTGTAAAGAAGCTTGCAAAGGGGATACAGTTGTCCGTACAATGGACAAAGGAAAGGATCCCATTGTCTTCTGGGCCACTGAAACTGTAGCATTCCCAGCAGGAGGGCCTAAACCTTCAACCAATGATGGGATTGTAGTGCGAGATTGAGCCTCATTATCCTTAGTAGTTAATTCTCCAATTTTTTTTGTTTATTTCCTCCAAGCCATACTCCAGTCTTTTAATTTCTTTTTGCCGAGGCTTATGCTTTTTAACATGCACAGCCTGAATTGGAGGGTATCTCTCAGAATAATATTGATCTGGTTCTTCCCCCAACTCTGCAACCTCATTTGGATACAAGTCTTCCTCAAAGTCTTCTTCTGACAAGAAATTATTGTCA